TCCACACAATGAGACAATGACTCTATATATGGGCTACTAAACGAGAAAATGAATGTCTATATATGGGCTACTCAATGGGACAATGACTCTATATATGGGCTACACAATGAGACAAACTCTATATATGGGCTACTCAATGGGACAATGACTGTCTAGATATGAGCTACTCAATGGGACAATGACTCTATATATGAGCTACTCACTGAGACTATGACTCTATATCTGAGCTGCCCAATGAGACAATGACTCTATATATTAGATACACAATGAGACAATGACTCTATATATTAGATACACAATGAGACAATGACTCTATATATTAGTCACACAATGAGACAATGACTCTATATATGGTGATACCCAATGAGACAATGACTGTCTATATATGGTGCTACTCAATGAGATAATGGGTCTCTATATATGAGCTACACAATAAGACAATGACTCTATATATGAGCTACACATTGAGACAATGACTGTCTATATATGGGCTACACAATGAGACAATGAACATATATGAGCTACACAATGAGACAATGTCTGTCATATATATGGGCTACTCAATGAGACAATGGGTATCTATGTATGGGTTTCTCAATAAGACAATGACTCTATATATGAGCTACACAATAAGACAATGACTGTCTATATATGGACTACTCAAAGGGACAATGACTCTATATATGGGCTCCTCAATGGGACAATGACTGTCTATATATGGGCTCCTAAATGAGACAATGACTCTATATATGGGCTACCCAATGGGACAATGACTGTCTATATATGGACTACTCAAAGGGACAATGACTCTATATATGGGCTCCTCAATGGGACAATGACTGTCTATATATGGGCTACTCAATGAGGCAATGACTCTATATATGAGCTACTCAATCAGACAATGACTCTATATATGGGCTACTAAACGAGAAAATGAATGTCTATATATGGGCTACTCAATGGGACAATGACTGTGTATATATGAGCTACTCAATGGGACAATAACTATATCTACGGGCTACTCAATGAGACAATGACTGTCTAAATATGGGCTACACAATGAGACAATGAACATATATGAGCTACACAATGAGACAATGACTGTCTATGTATGGGCTACTCAATGAGACAATGACTCTACATATGAGCTACTGAATGAGACTATGACTCTATATCTGAGCTACTCAATGAGAGAATGACTCTATATATGAGCTACTCAATAAGACAATGGGTATCTATGTATGGGTTTCTTAAAAGGCAATGACTCTATATATGAGTTATTCAATGAGACAATGACTCTATATAGGAGCTACTCAATGAGACAATGACTGTCTATGTATGGGCTACACAATGAGACAATGACTGTCTATGTATGGGCTACTCAATGAGACAATGACTGTCTAAATATGAGCTACACAATGAGACAATGACTGTCTATGTATGGGCTACTCAATGAGACAATGACTCTACATATGAGCTACTGAATGAGACTATGACTCTATATCTGAGCTACTCTATGAGACAATGACTCTATATATGAGCTACTCAATAAGACAATGGGTATCTATGTATGGGTTTCTCAATAAGACAATGACTATATATATGAGCTATTCAATGAGACAATGACTCTATATAGGAGCTACTCAATGAGACAATGACTGTCATAAATATGGGCGACACAATAAGACAATGACTGTCATATATATGGGCTACACAATGAGACAATCACTCTATATCTGAGCTACACAATGAGACAATGACTGTCTATGTATGGGCTACTCAATGAGACAATGACGGTCTATGTATGGGCTACACAATGAGACAATGACTGTCATAAATATGGGCTACACAATAAGACAATGACTGTCATATATATGGGCTACACAATGAGACAATTACTCTATATACGAGCTACTCAATGGGACAATGACTCTATATATGGGCTATGAGCTACTCAATGAGACAATGACAATCTATATATGAGCTACTCAATGAGACGATGACTCTATATATGAGCTACTCAATGATACTATGACTCTATATATGAGCTACTCAATGGGACAATGACTCTATATATGGGCTACTCAATGAGACAATGACTCTATATATGAGCTACACATTGAGACAATGACTGTCTATATATGGGCTACACAATGAGACAATGTCTCTATATACCAGCTACACAATGAGACAATGACTCTATATATGGGCGACTCAATGAGACAATGACTCTATATATGAGCTACTCAATGATACTATGACTCTCAATGACTGTCTATATATGGGCTACACAATGAGACAATGTCTCTACATATGAGCTACACAATGAGACAATGACTCTATATATGGGCGACTCAATGAGACAATGACTCTATATATGAGCTAATCAATCAGACAATGACTCTATATATGGGCTACTCAATAAGACAATGACTCTATATATAAGCTACACAATGAGACAATGACTCTATATATGAGCTACCCAATGAGACTATGACTCTATATATGAGCTACACAATGAGACAATGACTCTATATATGGGCTACTCAATGGGACAATGACTGTCTATATATGGACTACTCAATGAGACAATGACTCTATATATGGGCTACACAATGAGACAATGACTCTATATATGAGCTACACATTGAGACAATGACTGTCTATATATGGGCTACACAATGAGACAATGTCTCTTTATATGAGCTACACAATGAGACAATGACTCTATATATGGGCTACTCAATGAGACAATGTCTCTATATATGGGCTACTCAATGAGACAATGACTGTCTATATATGGGCTACTCAATGACACAATGACTGTCTATATATGGGCTACACAATGAGACAATTACTCTATATATGAGCTACTCAATAATACAATGACTGTATATACGAGCTACTCAATGAGACAATGACTCTATATATGAGCTACTCAATAATACAATGACTGTATATATGAGCTACTCAATGAGACAATGACTCTATATATGGGCTACTCAATGAGACAATGACTCTATATATGAGCTACATAATGAGACAATGACTGTCTATATATGGGCTATTCAATAAGACAATTACTCTATATATGTGCTACTCAATCAGACAATGACTGTCTATATATGGGCTACACAATGAGATAATGGGTCTCTATATATGGTGCTACTCAATGAGATAATGGGTCTCTATATATGAGCTACTCAATGAGACAATGAATGTCTATATATGGGCTACTCAATAAGACAATGACTGTTTATATATGGGCTACACAATGAGACAATGACTGTCTATATATGGGCTACTCAATGAGACAATGACTGTCTATATATGGGCTAAACAATGAGACAATGTCTCTATATATGAGCTACTCAATGAGACAATGACTGTCATATATATAGGCTACTCAATAAGACAATGACTCTATATATATGAGCCACACAATGAGACAATCACTCTATATATGAGCTACACAATGAGACAATGACTCCATATATGGGCTACTCAATGAGACAATGACTCTATATATGGGCTACTCAATGAGACAATCACTCTATATATGGGCTACTCAATGAGACAATGACTGTCATATATATGGGCTACTCAATAAGACAATGACTCTATATATATGAGCTACACAATGAGACAATGACTCTATATATGAGCTACACAATGAGACAATGACTCTATATATGGGCTACTCAATGAGACAATGACTGTCTATATATGGGCTACACAATGAGACAATGACTCTATATATGGTGCTACTCAATGAGACAATAACTCAAAATATGGGCTACACAATGAGACAATGACTCTTTATATGGTGATACACAATGAGACAATGACTGTCTATATATGGGCTACTCAATGAGACAATGACTCTATATATGGTGCTACTCAATGAGACAATAACTCAAAATATGGGCTACACAATGAGACAATGACTCTATATATGAGCTACTCAATGAGACTATGACTCTATATCTGAGCTACTCAATGAGACAATGACTCTATATATGGGCTACTCAATGAGACAATGACTGTCATATATATAGGCTACTCAATAAGACAATGACTCTATATATATGAGCTACACAATGAGACAATGACTGTCTATATATGGTGCTACTCAATGGCATAATGGGTCTCCATATATGGGCTACACAATGAGACAATGACTCTATATATCAGCTACTCAATGAGACAATGACTGTCTAAATATGGGCTACACAATGAGACAATGACTCTATATATCAGCTACTCAATGAGACAATGACTGTCTAAATATGGGCTACTCAATAAGACAATGACTGTCTATATATGGTGCTACTCAATGGCATAATGGGTCTCTATATATGGGCTACACAATGAGACAATGACTCTATATATGAGCTACTCAATGAGACAATGACTGTCTATATATGGGCTACACAATGAGACAATGACTCTATATATCAGCTACTCAATGAGACAATGACTGTCTAAATATGGGCTACACAATGAGACAATGACTCTTTATATGGTGATACACAATGAGACAATGACTATATATGAGCTACTCAATGAGACAATGACAATCTATATATGGGCTACACATTGAGACAATGACTGTCTATATATGGGCTACACAATGAGACAATGACTCTATATATGAGCTACACAATAAGACAATGACTGTCTATATATGGTGCTACTCAATGAGATAATGGGTCTCTATATATGGTGCTACTCAATGAGATAATGGGTCTCTATATATGAGCTACACAATAAGACAATGACTGTCTATATATGGTGCTACTCAATGAGATAATGGGTCTCTATATATGGTGCTACTCAATGAGATAATGGGTCTCTATATATGAGCTACACAATAAGACAATGACTGTCTATATATGGTGCTACTCAATGAGATAATGGGTCTCTATATATGGTGCTACTCAATGAGATAATGGGTCTCTATATATGAGCTACACAATAAGACAATGACTGTCTATATATGGTGCTACTCAATGAGATAATGGGTCTCTATATATGGTGCTACTCAATGAGATAATGGGTCTCTATATATGGGCTACACAATGAGACAATGACTCTATATATGAGCTACTCAATGAGACAATGACTGTCTATATATGGGCTACACAATGAGACAATGACTGTCTATATATGGGCTACACAATGAGACAATGACTGTATATATGGGCTACACAATGAGACAATGACTGTCTATATATGGTGCTACTCAATGAGATAATGGGTCTCTATATATGGGCTACTCAATGAGACAATGGGTATCTGTATAAGGGCTACTCAATGAGAAAATGACTCGATACATGGGCTACTCAATGAGACAAAGACTCCATGTGTAGGCTACTTAAACAGATTCAGATCATACAAATATATAAAAATCATCAGCGCCTCCAGGCGAAATTAATAGAGAACTTTTCCTTCTACACAAGCACAATGTCACTAGCCCTCCCTTAGGAAGTCACTGATGAGTTCTGATGCAACACATGTGTAATGTCACTGGTACGTCCCGATGGAATTTACTTAAAAATTCTCCCATACGCTGGCAATGTCACTGGCACGTAGTGACAAAATGTACTTTAAACTGCTCCCACACGTACGAATTGTCACCAGCACCTCCCGATTAAAGTCATTGAAGACATCTCCTCTTACACGTGCGCAGTGTCACCCTCGCCTCCCGACGGAAGCGTCTGTCGAAGAAGCCGTAGATGATCGGGTTGACGATGCTATTGACGTAGATAAGAGTGTACAGAAATCGGTATCCTCCCATTTCAGCTTTATCCAATTCTATCCAGAAATGTTCGTTTCGAGATTCATACACCATCAAGGCAACTTTAGGAACATAACATATTACAAACGCAAATGTTATTAGCATGAATATGAGCGTCAAACGTACCTCGGGGCTCTGACCGCTATCTCTGTGAATTTGACGCTGGTTCGAAGCAATGACTGTAACTTCCGTCGTTGGAGATGTTGATTCAGACGAAGGTTGGGTGTTTGTGACACTTACTGTTGTTAATATAGTGAAATCTGCATTCGATTCTGTTACTTGTTGCGAAGAAATCGGTGTTTGATTAACACAAAGTTTTCTGCGAAAGTTCCTCTGTTTAAAAATGGTTCTTCCGATGAGAATATACAAGGTTACAAGAGCGAATATGATGACTGCGAGTACAAGAAAGACGGCAGATTTGAAAATGAGTGGTTCTATGGTTGACCAGGGTCCGCGGATACTTGTGCACCGTGTTCCAGTTATCTTTGTTCCATCATGTATGATCTCCTTAGACCCATAGAACAGAAAGCATGGCCATGAAAGTAACACTGAAGAACATGCTACGAGTATCAATGTTACTTTTTTCCAATATACAGTTATCTGTTTGTTGAAAGGTTTACATATTTTCATATATCTGTTTACAGCTATCAACAGCAGCAGATATGCAGAAGCCGCCGAAAACGTCATTGGGAAAAAATGTATTATCTTACAGGCTACCCCACTCTCAAGCCTTACGGGAAGCATATTGACAGTGAAACTGCTCGACGTTCCTAAAGTACACGTCATCAAGTCTACAAACGCTAAAGCTGGAATAAAGAATCGGTCATCAATGTTTCCTTTAAGTCGGATCGTGTATATGTATAAAACTGCCGAGTTCCCCAGAACACCGACCACTAGGTACGTCATCAGTACTATAGAGTCTGGCAGTAGTCGTGTCGATATCTCCTCATTCCAGTCGTCAACACTGACTGGACCTTTTGGGGTGATTTCTGTGGTATTCATATCGTACATATAGATCTAAACTGTATAAACGTGATCACTGCTCCTTGGTCAATGAAGTAATATATAGAGTACTAATTGGTCTTAAAAATGATATCATATGCGTATATCTTTACATGTGCATTGAAACAACCATTCACAGCTGCTGTCAAATTCACCCAAAGGTCGATTAAAAATAGACTTAAACGGAAGTCTTTCAATCTGTATCGTAGCATTATATGATACAGATTGCCTTGTACATTTTAGCTTACATATGTGTACTACGCATGCATATGATTGGTTTTCATAACATCCTCATATTGTCGACAGTTATGCACTCCCTTAAATTACTTTATCCAACCTGTCATACATTTTCTTGTTTGATATGAAGTAACTTTTAACAATAGCCGTATACAGTGACTATGTGTATTTATTCAGAATGAAATGTTTGTAAAGAATCCACGTACCACTGCTATAATAATTATTAGGATAGTATGTATCACTCTCTGACAAAATTTAAAGAACGGCTGAAATGCATACGATGTTAAGCCGCTTACTGTATAACATGATGTTGTTGTCGTTATTTTTATTTGTAATTTTGTTTCATAATAAATGTTGAGCTCAATTCGTTAAATAATATAAGGGTTTGTTGAATTCATGTAAATCAATCAATGCATAAGTAAGATTTTACACTCAAAGAAAACATTTTGTTATTCGATATCACACACCGAGAATTAGAGGGTCTTTTAGAACGTCTTTAATACATCGTTTATCAAGCATGATCGTACAAACGCTTGATATTTATTCAGCCTTTTTATGTATTAGGAATGTATCATAGCTGTATGAAATTATACGTATTGATTAAGATGCTCTCATGCTGTACGGTAATTAAAGCACACGTACTTTGTATCAGGTTATTATAAGGTAGCAAATAACTTCTCAACTAAATATAGTATCATAATCGATTGATGGCATACAAAATACGAAAAACATATCGTATAAATCATCTTAAAGACTGATTTTACATTGTACCAAACTGCCCCCAACATGTTAGTAAAGTGTACTGCTTGCAAATGTCTTCTTCCATTTGAAAACATATATTGTATCTTTCAATAGAAGAGTTACAAATTCACGTCACATATCGTTTAGATTTACTTTAGTACTAAGTCATCTCTATCAGACAAACCCTGATGAGGATGTTAGAGAACAGCCGTCACATACAAATATAGTACTGGGTGTGCTATAAAAACGTATATACAATATCTTGAAATTGTAATTCTTTAAAATCAGGCAACATACATGTCTAATGTTCAAATAGGTATACACTCAATTAACAAATTAGGGGTGTTTCAACTGGCCTATTAATGCACGTTGTCGTGTCTTTCTGTTGATCATGGAATAGTATACCTTACATCTCGATACGTACATCCCCTCTAGCCCCGTACACATATTCATAAATTCATATCAAAGGTGTTTATGCAAACAGTAGTTAAAGTATAAGATATTGCAACAGAGATTTTGAGTAACACATACAAAGTTCTGCAGCTAATTTCTCATCTGCCTTGTATCCATTCGTCCTTGTCAAAGCAATTGTTGCATTTAAAACAAACACATATGTTAATATGTAAATGGGCACAGTGTCGTATTACTGTTTGAATTCTTAAGTTTTCTTTGTCCATTTATACACGGACATATTCTCGCATTATTGCTTGAAGTCTTAGATTTTCATTCTTACTATTTCATTCTAACTTATTCTTTTGACACTATTTAAACCCTTCAGTTCAGACTGTCCAATTAAACAATATACATTATAAAATGTTTGAAACCTGTACTTCTTTTTTCTTTCAGCATTTAATTTATTGCTTTATTTATTTTAAATATTCAAATTTTGTATGCAACGACAATTGCAAGATGTCATTTATATGAAATGTTGATGTCAAAAAGGATCCTGGTAATAACATATACAAACTGTTCTTGATATTATTAACTTGATAAAGCAGTATATGTACCTTAACTTGATGGTTCAGTATATCAGTAGTATCAGTAAATGTACATTAACTTGATGGTGCAGTTAAGCAGTATATGTACCTTAACTTGATGGTGCAGTAAAGCAGTATATCTACCTTAACTTGATGGTGCAGTAAAGCAGTATATGTACATTAGCTTGATGGCGCAGTAAAGCAGTATATGTACCTTAACTTGATGGAGCAGTATATCAGGATATTTACCTTAACTTGATGGTTCAGTATATCAGTATATGTACCTTAACTTGATGGTGCAGTAAAGCAGTATATGTACATTAACTTGATGGTGCAGTGAAGCAGTATATGTAAATTAACTTGATGGTGCAGTAAAGCAGTATATGTACATTAACTTGATGGTTCAGTAAAGCAGTATATGTAACTTAACTTGATGGTCGGTATAGCAGTATATGTACCTTAACTTGATGGTTCAGTATAGCAGTATATGTATCATAACTTGATGGTTAAGTATATCAGTAGTATCAGTAAATGTATCCTAACTTGATGGTTCAGTTTATCAGTATATGTACCTTAACTTGATGGCTCAGTATATCAGTAAATTTACCTTTACTTGATGGTTCAGTATATCAGTATATGTCTCTTAATTTGATGGTGTAGTATATCATTAATATCAGTATATGTTTCTTAACCTGATGATTCAGTATAGCAGTATATGTACATTAACTTGATGGATCAGTATATCATTAATATCAGTATATGTTTCTTAACTTGATGGTTTAGTATAACAGTATATGTACCTTGACTTAATGGTTCAGTATATCAGTATATGTACCTTGACTTAATGGATAAGTATAGCAGTATATGTACCTTAACTTAATGGTTCAGTATATCAGTATATATACCTTAACTTGATGGTTCGGTATAGCAGTAAATGAACCTTAACTTGATGGTTTAGTATAGCAGTATATGTACCTTAACTTGATGGTTCGGTAAAGCAGCATACATGTATGTATCGTATATAATAAGTTATTGATTAATTCCTATTCAAGTGAGGCAACATTTTGTAAGGGTCAACATTAGGACAAATAAAAAAAAAGAGGAACTTGTATACATCAATTCTGTTTCCAATCAATTATTTGAAGTAAATACATGGATAAAATTAGTCAAGCTGTTGCCACCAGTCACGTTAAACACGAGTAAGCCAACAGGAAATAAATGGTTTCAGTTTCATGCAGTGCCTCACGTTAATAAAATAAGGTTGTAGAGATGATAAAACCATTGAACTGTGTAAGATACTAATCCACGACATGTACATTGTTAGGGTCTAAACCGTAAATCACTTCGACATGAACCACACAATTAACACGACGACGGCTGACACTCTGGATGCCTGGAACCAAGAAATATCAACTAGCTTATTTCCACATTCGATCCTGCTCATCGTCTACCTTGTGGTTGGGTCCCTAGGTAACTCTCTTGTTATCTACGTGCATGTATTCCGACTGCAATCAAGAAAAGAGGATCGCTTTTACATCCCTATCCTTGCGGTAGTAGATATGTTTTCATGTGGTTTTACCGCACTGTTCACTCTCGCTTTAAACTTGTTAAACGTGAAGTTCAGTAATGCCACTGCCTGTAAGGTGTTATGGTTTCTGTGTTTGGGATTTATCTCAGCTTCCACCATGATCCTACTTGCTATTGCTGTTGACAGATTTCGGAAGGTGTGCAAGCCATTTAGCAAACAAATCAGTCTGTATTGGAAAAAGGTAATTGTTCTGGTCATCGCTATTATTTCAGCAGTACTGTCGTCCCCCTGCCTCCTGCTGTACGGAGTGACGGATGTGTACGACCACACCAGATCCGTGGTAAAGCAAGGATGTCATGATGTCCCGGAGCTAAAATCTACTGGGTTACATATCGTCTTCAGTGCTACCCTGCTAATATGTGTTATGGTCATTCTTGTATCACTCGTTGTGTTGTATGTCTTGATGGGAAGAGTTGTATTCAGGCAGATGCGTTTGAACAAACTCCGACATTCCGCAGTAATTTCGAGAAATATCCCAACGGAAATGCATGTCTTATCGGTTTCTGGAAACACCTGCCATGAACCTGCTTCTTCAAACAAAACACAGACACCTGACTTATCGGATGAACGGAAAAACAAGAACTTGTCAAAAGTATCTGACAATCAACACCCTTGCACAAAATCTTCTGCGCCAAAAACACTGAGTACCAGAACGTCGTCCTCAATATCAACACATCCACATATCACGCCTGGAGTGCGATTTACCTTTATATTTATGATAATTACAATTGTTTTTATCGTGTGTTATGTTCCGAGAGTCGTATTAATGATAATCGAAACTGTAGAACCTACGTTTTGGACAGATTTATCAGACCTAGAATACGGACTATACACATTCCTATATCAATTCTACATCTTCAATAACGTTATCAATCCTGTAATTTACGGTCTTTTTGACAACACGTTCCGTCGGGATGCAGCTCAGCTTTTCCGTTCGTGTTGCAAAATTGTGCCGACAGGGACATCCATGCCATAAAAATAACTACAAAGGGTTTGCCTACCTGTCAGACATGCTTTCTATTTCACTTATGGATTATTCTCCGAAACAGATCATGTTGATAAAAGTCCAATGTAACAAGAATAAAACAGTGATTTGTTTATAGGATATTGAATTGAAAAGATGAGAGAAATTATCACATTTGTATAATAACCTATAGCAACATCAATCGCCATAAAGTTACTATGAACTATTTGAGCTTTTAGTTAACAATAATACATTTAGCAGCTTTGTTCAGTCAATAATTCACTTATTTTTTTCTCACAAAAGCAAAATTGGGTTCGGTTTCATAATCGCTTTAGTCGAGAAAGCTAAAAATTAAATACACATCAAACTGTTTCTATTTTATTTCAGATTGAGCTGTGATACTTTTAGCATCAAATTTGTTCCCGTTTATAATACGATGATTACGTTGCTGTACCTATAACATAACTTTGATAACAAAGCTTAAGCAAGATATGGGGGTTTCCCCCTATACTACATATGATGTTGTTAATATATATATTTATATATATAAACTGTAATTCATATTATTTGTTTGCATTATCAATACTATGACCATTACTTAAATGTTTTGTTGTTTATACAGTTGTATTCCTAGTTTAATTTTTTTTAATAAACACTTGCTTTCATATACAGATGTAGCAACTTTGGCTTAAATGTATGTAAAAGTCACCTCATCTCAATATTTCTAAATGAGGACAACATCACCTGTAATGCGGTTTATATATATATATATTGTGGAGTGGAGTTTACTTAATCATCAATATTACAAAATATGTGATGCGTCGTATCCTTAACTTATTTCTAAATACATGTATAATTAATTTTATCACACACCCTACATTCCTGCAGGTCAGGGATTGAGAACAGAGTATACCTGCTGTTACCTTTTGTATGATCGTAAGAGGAGATAGTTGTGGAAACCCCCTACAGAATAGGGATTGTGTCTGTGCCCTCTACATTATGACAAACAAAGCGGGGAAAAACTGCTGCAATATTTTAGATCTTTCTATTTATCTCTACTTCTAATTATCTTTTAGTTCCTACCGCCTTGCTTGGCAAGACTTTACTTTTGGCTTTGAAATTGAGCTTTTGCCGAGGTGAGGAGGATAATGTGCTCTGTCTCTGTTCCGGTGATACCAAAATCTAAAATCTAAAGTACTAGTTGTTATTCCTTGCTTAACGTTCAGCTTTGAAGATGTGTTCAACAACTGGGCCCGTATTCAGGACACGATTCTCATGCTCAAGTATAGATTGTGTTCAGACCCAACTAATCATTACTCATTTTAAATCATGTGACACGGCCAAACGTCAAAAGTAAACATCGAAAATAATATTCAGCTTTAAGTCTCTTCCAAGCTCATAAACATCACGGGAAAATATGCGATGTGTGATTGAGTTATCAGCGGGGGAAAATCTGAATTTGGGCATGAACACGGTTTCATAATACTGGCTCTGTTTCACCCGTTGTCAGTATATTGTGACCAGACAGGATGCTGTGCTGAGTGCATTCAGGCATGGTATTTCAGTGAGGTAGCACTTTAAAGTCGGAATATCTGAGCTATCACAAGGAGGCCAACATAGCGTGCCCCCAGCACATATACACACACACAAAATACACATCGAGGCATGTCCTTAAATTAATTTATCTGTTAATAGGGCGTTAAACCCTATACAACTAACAAGCCATCACACACTCCATATTTCATTGGGCTCACCATTTCTAGCTTGTTTAGCAGAATTTAGCTATAAGGCATTGTTGAACTAGGTATGAAAATACAAAGTCGTTGTCAGTAAAGTCAATAATGTAGTTGAATGTAAAATCAAATATGTCATCCTAGATGTATGTCCATACAAGTAACTAAGATGAACGTAATTACCAAATACATAAAGGACGACAGGGTGAACGTCATTTTCCCAAAACATTAAACTTAGAATAGTGAATAAGATAGGAAAGCAATCAAACAACATATTCAATGTTGACCTTATACCTCTTCACTTTAATTTTTTATGATTTTGCTATATTGGACTGTTCATCTAAGACTGTCATTTAAACGCAGAAACATTGTTAGTCATAATCAAAATACGAGAACGGAACAAGGCAAACGTGTGTGAAGAGATTGTCAGGATGTCTCACATAATGATATAAATACTGTCTGCTTAACATCACATAAGTTGTAAACACTTATCAAACATGGGATGGATGGGCAAAATAACCAAATAAATACGAAACATGTACATGAATACATTAAGTTTATTCGGATAGTATCGGTTTTTTAGAGATTACAATAGAATTTGTAAGTGTAACGAAAAATAAACGATTTATAAATATTTCTAAAATAAGAGAACGGAAAGAAATGATGAATAAATCAATTCCAGGATGTATACAGCACATGCACGACTCAATTGACAGCGTGCCGCTCTTTATATATATCTTAATGTGAGAATCGTTTTCGGATAATTCAAAGAATTTATACATGTATATATTTGTTTATATATTAGTGTACATGTCGTAATCATTTGTCAAAAAATGAATATTCATCAGTCTATTTGTTTAGTTTTCTAATCTAAACATTTTCTACACTAATGGGGATAAGAGATCATTTTCTTTTACCTCGCACAAGTGTATCCACATTTTTCTCCTACCCTCGACAGGTTATCCATATCTTTCTCTTACCCTTGACAGGTGAATCCAAATTTTGATCTTACCTTAGACAGAGGTGTCTACACTTTTCTAAATGTGCGACTAACAGAATATGTCGACCCATTGGGAATGATGTGGGGGGTCACAATCCAAGGCTCTTAAGTTGCCAAACACGAGGGTATCCATTGTTTGACATATTTTTCTCGGAAGTTGAAAACACCGTCTCAACTCTTGATTAGAATCATTCTTTTTTCTTAGTCTGTTGGTCCTATATGCAATTTTGGCATTGCGGGATTAATGCATTACTGACATGACGTTATTGTAATACTTGCATGAAATCAAACAGTTGCTATGACAGTTGTATCCCCTCTTCTTGGCGCGACAATAATATTACACAATAGGGGAAATGTGGAAACACCACAAGAGGATTAAGACGAGGGAGGTGATTAGGATAGATAATATAATCTGTGTTAAGTCCTTGAATTTCATTCTCAGATATATCGACGATGTGCTGTCAGCACTTGGTCAACACTTGTACACAATCAAAGATGCATTTGTTATGATAAATACTTTTCGACCATCATGCTGCCGAAAGGCTTAACATATGTATCAGAATTCAGTAGAAATGTTATGTTGTTTATTTGTTGTGTCCTGATATAGGGGCGGATTACAACGAAACTTTTAATAATTTCAGTGTCCTATCCGTCGCTATTACTTCTGGGTATATTTATCCACCACTCATTGATCGAACATGTGTTCGTCAATATTTTATACACAAGTTTAGGTTTATAGTCAAGGGGAAAGTTGTATAAAGACGATAGAGGATAATGGGACATAAGAAAAGTAGGCTCTAAGTACATTGGGTATAAATATTAACGGCACATGTATTAGTGTGTTTAGTTATGTGACAGTTTATTGGTTTGTAACGCTAGCATCAGCGGGTGATCTTCCTTCCTCGATTAAAGTAAACATATCTATAAACTAGAAAATGTCTGTAAGACATAAATTCCCCCGCTGCCATGTGAAATTAGTTTCAGTGTTCTATAAAAAGTTACAACCACTTTGATCTTGATACCCTGAAACATGCACACACACACAAGGTACTACACTTAAAGTTGATTTCAATATTCATATTGAATGAAGTTGCTAAGTGTTAAAATTGAATCAGTAGATGATATTCTATATATAGCAACAGTGACCTTGGCCTTGACCTTGGAACCCTGAAACACAACAATGTCCGAAGTATACTCATACTTCACCTTTGCATAAAGTTTGACCAAAATCTGTCAAAGAATGAAGTTGCTAAGTGTTTAAATTGAATCAGTTGACGATTTTCTATATATAGCAAGTGTGACCTTGGCCTTGACCTTGGATCCCTGAAATACAACGATGTCCGAAGTATACTCATTCTTGACCTTTGTATAAAGTTTGACCAAAATCTGTCAAAGAATGAAGTTGCTAAGTGTTTACATTGATTAGGACGGGACGGGACGGGTCGAGACAGGACAGGACGATTTTCTATGTAAAGCAATTGTGACCATGGCCTTGACCTTGGACCCCTGAAATACAATGATGTCCGAAGTATAATCATATTTGACCTTTGTATAAAGTTTGATCAAAATCTGTCAAGGAATGAAGTTTCTAAGTGTTTACATTGAATCGGGACGGGACGCGACGGAATGTTTACCCCTTCCTTTGTTCATCCATTATTTCCTCTTCTTTTTCATCGACATTGATCGTTTCCCTGAACAATAACTTTTTAAATTTAAAGTTAGCCTTATTTGTACGCAATGTTACATTCATTATCAACACCTACGTTCATCTTCCCTGTGCACAGTCATGGTAAACCGTCAATAAGTGCATTAACCTTTACTTATGTACTACCAAGGTTTACCAAGGTTTGCTATCCTTTTATTATATCAACAATTATCTGAGCCTTTTGCTTTATTTTACGTCCGTATATGTCTACCTAAGCGTCAATATAATAGAATCAACGCCAAAAAGACTAGATGAACCTTCATAAAAGACAGAGACAGAATCAGATATAGATACAGGGGAAAAAGTAACGTTTTTAAACGATATTTGACCTATGTCATGATGCCCTTTTTCAATCCATAAAACTTTTCACTATTTATCTTAGATTCAAGAAACATGCTTTCAAAAACAGCTACAATATATATACATGTAACAGTGAAATAAGATATTTAGAAATTGTGTTATGATCTCAACCATAGCACTTCTTCAAGTCGAATTTGAGTCTTTCCTTTTCAACAAGGCGGCCGGGGTCCTATTTCCCGATCGGAGGTTCACCTGCCCGACCACATGGGTTTTC